GTGGCTTCTTCATCTGGGAACAGTGATAGATACAACATGGTGTATGGTCTACCTGTCACCGGATCGACAGGTCAGTATCTGGGCCCTGGTATGTCAGGTACAACACACTAGGGTTGTTCCTCTCATTACTCTCTCCCATCTCTTAGGCAAGATGATCTCTTGCATTTCCATAGTAATTTGGGCCAGACTACATTCAAGGACCCTGCAATGGTTCCTCCTTCCCTTTCAAAGGTGAAAGCTCACCTCCTCCAACAGGCCAGTGAGTGTGACACCTCTAGTATCGAAGTTGCTCCAATGGTGGACTTCTCAGGCTGTAGCCAGGGGTTCCAGGTTCAAGGAACCATCACGGATAGTTCTCATTACTGACACCAGTCTTTTTGGCTGGGGAGCTCACCTCCAGTCCCAGCTGGCTCAGGGTCGCTAGTCCAGAGAGGACTTGGAGCACAATATAAACTGGCTAGAGCTCAGAGCCATTCACCTGGCATTGCGTCATTTCAGTCACGGTGAGGGGTCGGCATGTTCTTATCTTGACGGACAACATAGCGGCCAAAGCTCACGTGAACCATCGGGGTCGCTTATGACGGAGGCCAGACTGCTATGCTCTTGGGCAGAGATCAATCTCTCCTCTATCAAGGCGGATCACTTTTTGGGGGCGATAAACGAACAGGCGGATGCCCTTAGCAGGGCGACAGTAGACCACTCTGAGTGGCGTCTGGACCCAGCGCTATTCGTGGAGATAACAAGCAGGTTCGGTCAGCCAGCTCTGGATCTATTCGCTTCAGCAGCGAATTCGCAACTACCAAGATTCTTCTCCCGTTTTCCATCACTGGGGGCGGAGGGAGTGGACACCCTGTGCATTCCGTGGCCTCAGGCCCTGCTGTACGCCTTTCCCTCTCTGCCTCTCATGCCCATGGTTGTCCGCATGATCCTGCGGGAGAAGGCAGAGGTCATTTTCATATCTCCATATTGGCTGAGGTGCCCGTGGTTGCGGACCTCATGAGTCTGTCTTGACACCATGGAGGATACCTCCGGACCGCATAGTGCTCAGGGAGCGCTTCAATACCCCGAGCCTCAATGGCTCCAGCTAACCATATGGCACTTGAGCGGGGACATCTGATTCAGGAAGCTTACCCTACGAGGGTTATCAATATGATCCAGGCTTCAAGATGTCCGTCGACCAATAGGATTTATGACTCCACTTGGAGGAACTTCTTTACTTGGGCCTCCAAACTTCATATCGATATGTCATCACTCACTGTGCCACGGATTTTGGAGTATCTTTTGGAAGGGATTGACATGGGTCTCTCTCCAAGTACCATCAAGAGACAGGTGGCGGCCCTCTCCACGGTGCTCTCATGTGATGACTCTTCCTCTCTAGCTCATCACCCAATGATCCATTCCTTCATTAATGGGGTGGTCAACACTAATCCTACTATTCATAGGTATCCCTCCTGGGATCTTTCGTACATGCTTCAGGCCCTTACTGGGTCGCCATTTGAGTCCCTTAAAACTTGTGACCTGAGTCTTTTGTCCATGAAAGTAGCCTTTCTGGTGGCTGTGACTTCCGCCAGACACATATCCAACCTGGCAGCGCTCTCTGTCAGGGAGAATCTATGCGTTTTTTGTTCGGATTGTGTGATCCTCCGGCTAGATCCAACATTCATCCCCAAGGTGAACACCTTGTTTCATTGTTCCCAGGAGGTTGTGTTGCCGAGTTTCTGTCCTCGGCCATCTCATGACCTGGAACGCAAGTGGCACACCTTAGATGTGCACAGAGTGTTATGCATTTATATTAAGAGGACCACTGCCTTCCGTAAGTCGGAGACGCTTTTCATTTCCTTCCATCCTGCTTCTGTGGGTCGGAAGGTATCATTGTCCACCATTGGTAGGTGAATCAAAGCTTGTATTGCCAAGGCATACCATTCTCAGTCCTTGCCCATTCCTTCGCGTATCACTACTCATTCCACCCGCAGTGCTGCAACTTTTGCGGCCTGGGCCACTCAAGCGCCAATGGAGAGATCTGTAGAGCGGCGACCTGGTAGTCACCCTCCCCATTTATACGTCACTACAAGATCGATAAGTTTACATCTGCTGACACTTTCTTTGGCCGTAGGGTGTTGCAAAGGGTTGTGTCATCTGCAAAATCACATACCCTGACTAAACTTAGGGACAGTTGGGCTTTGGTAAGTCCCAGTCCTTGGATTATCCATCCTCATGCTGGAGAAGGGGCGTTGTCTTACCTGAACGCCTTTTCTCAGCATGATGGATAATCCACTCCCGCCCTTTAGTGACTGTCAGGTCCTGTGGCAGGGGTCAGGGAACCAACATGTCTGACTTCGTCTGCTGCTTCGCCTTCATTGGAACTGGGATAGCATGGCCCGGCAAGAGGCGTGGCTAACTCTCAGACTTAGTCTATTGGGTAGAATGGACTTCAGGAAACCAATCCGTGGATTATCCATCATCATGCTGAGAAAAGGTGTTCAGGTAAGACAACGCCCCTTCTCTGCTAATGTCACGTGGGGGAGGATTGTGTCCTACTGGCAATCTCACAGACCCCATCCTCTTTTCTCACCAAATAAAAGGTTTCCACTTGTCTAGCCATGCTAGACCTAAAATCACAGCTTCAGTCTATTCAGGGCCACCACAAAATGGATGAGCTCCCAATGTTCACCTATTTCTAATGTACTGGTTCAGTTAAATGGGTGACTAAGGTCCCTCCCATTAAAGATCCATCCACTTGTTCAAGTCTCATAGATTTGGAGAGTAACCTTGCTCATATGCCCAGTTTGAGGGCAATTGGCAAGCACCCTGAACCCACTAGCACCTACATAATTGAACCCAAAACTGATATTTCCTCCCCCAGATACAAAGTAACATTGCAATTCCCATCCCACAAATGCTGTCATAAGTCACATTCCCCAATTAATGCAAGACACAGGCTGTTCTCACCAGCCAAAACCTTATGAGACCATGTCCTTGAGTTCTCACACTCTTACATTGTTATGGCTAGCTAAGCCCTCATGCATTTACCTCATCCCCCCTTCTACATCTGAATTCTAAAAGAATAGGAAAGGCACGCTAGAAGCAAAAAGTAAAAATGGCTGCTGATTCTCAGTTGTCAGAGTAACGACATCCATTGTCACAGCGTTGACACTGATCAAGGAGAGATTCAACCTAGAAATAAGGAAAAAATTTCTGATAGCAAGAACAATCAACCAATGGAACAGTTTACCCTCAGATGTTGTGGGAATTTCATCACTGTAAGCTTTCAAGAAGGGACTGGACTGCCATCTGTAAGAAATGGTGTAGGATCTCCTGCTTGGGTGGGGGGTTGGACTAGATGACCTACAAGGTCCCTTCCTCTGTTATTAGGAAACTGGGAGGGGGGAAAGACAGTTTGATGAACAGCAGAGGAGCGCAGAACCAGCTTGTGCCAGCACCCAAGACTGTACACCCTGAGAAAGAATGTGGATTACCCTAAACATCTCAGTGTTCTCAAAACACCTATATGGACTCTTATTGGCTGAAGATGGACTAGCCATGGGGGAAGGGCTGGGGTATGAAGGAAACTTTCTGTATCATTTGAGCATGGGAAATTCAGTTCTAGCCTGACTTTACTGCAGCCAGCATCTTTTAGTAAAAGAATCTATCATTTCAATCAAATGGAGTCGAGGATCTTTCTTTCCTAAGGGATCGGACTGGGGCAGGTCTGAGACATACATCATGTATCTTTTTCTTCTTTTGCTTTCATTCCTTATTTCATACTCTTTACCATTTATTTATTTTACATTTTTGGTTTCAGTCTTCCATATGCCACAGTTATTGCCATACACTATAGATCCAAAAATTTTACCCTTTGCTGTTTACCAAGTGATCAATTCAAGTCTCCACTCTTTAGGAAAAGGAATAAAGAATAGTCTAGGTTATCAGCTTTGTATTGTGCCTCATGCACCACTCACTGCCAACAGTCTGCTTTATTCTGTGAAAATTAGTATCTTTAAACTAGAGATTTTTAGTAATAATAAGGTGTCAATAGTAAGACACCTTATTATTGAGTATGTACAGCATATTGGCAAAGATAGGAAACTTACAAATAATTTTTATTTTGTTTTGTTTTGTGAAATTTAGAGGCTGCCCAACTGCAGAATACTAACATTGGAAAATAAGAATAAAGAAAATCTCATGCATCAGGACAAATGTACTCTCTATAAAGGAACATTCTACCCGAAGGCCTGGGAAAACAGCCAGGTTTTTAAAGACTTCCAGAAAATCAATGGGGTGGGAAAGAAACAGATCTCTAGTAGCTAAAACTCAAGAGATATGAATCAACAATTATTTCAATATAAACCAGAAGTAATCTAGATTTTAGATTTCATCATGTACATTTCATGTAATCCTATTATTCCTTAGAAAGAAATATCTGAAGCTGTGAATATTGATAAGCCATTGTTGTTTTGTAGGGAGAGAGAAAACTTCTCTGGAATTAATATACACATCTGTAACTGACTATGTCAGATTGGATATGCTTGTTTCTAACCTTTCAAAAAATGCCCTTTATAGGAATGTTCCTTGTACTAGATTTTTGAACAATTCTAAGAGATGTATTACATGCTTCAACTTCTGAGTAAAATTTATCACTCAGTAAGATTATCTTACTGAAATTTCAGTGCAGTATCTTTTGAATTTGCTTTATGAATATGTTAATAAATACCACAAAACTACTGTATTTCCAAATTTAGAAAAATTGTGATGTTTTCAGTCGCTGCATTATAATTTACATTTATTAAAACTATTGGAGGACTCTAGAGATCTACCTGTAATGTTTCATTTCTCTGAAGTGATTATTTACTCAAGAATAAACAACAATGTTTAGATGACAGAAAGAGATCTATTTGGGATTATTCTTCCACTGGTAATTTTTATACTGACATGAATCAAGAATTTCATTCTAACCTTATCTTGTTTTAAAAATCTTTTTCACTTTCCTCTTTCTATTTTAGCCCATCATTTTATTGTGGTCTCTGCATGCCATGGATCTTATGGACAATTAATTGAGGATTTTTGCCTCAGCAAATTTAAATCTGACATGGAAATTCTCAGGAAGACGCTGTGGTGCGATTGGGATAAGACTTTGGAGTGAGTATCACATAATAAAACGTATTTTTTTCTTTTATGCTCATAATTTGGATCATAATAGAATGACCCAGTTAAAAGGGTTGGACTAGGTTGGACTAGATTCAACCTAGTCCAACCCTTTAAACTGCTCAGTGCCAGAGTCCACTAGATCACATTTTTAGATAGATAGATAGATAGATAGATAGATAGATAGATAGATAGATAGATAGATAGATAATTTTTATTGTCATTTTTACTGTGGGCACTTTGGCACACATTAAAAATGAAATTTAGTTTCTTGCTCTCAAAAGTGTACACATACATCATTTAAACATACTATATACAACATACTGTAAACCTGCATTCTTATATATAAATAATGTATAAATATTAATCACTGTCCATCTTGAATATATAGCTTTAGAGTTCACAAGGTTAATACTGTATGGGACAAATCTGTGACTGAATCTGGGTGTTTTGCTTCAGACACCACGATGTCTCCTCCCAGAAGGTAACAAAGAAAACAGGTCGTGAAAAGGATGTGTAGTGTCCCAGGCAATCTTGCGGACCCTGCTCAAGCAACGCTTATATGCTATGCCCTGGATGGGAGGGAGGGAATAGCCAATGATCTTTTCTGCTATCCTCACCACTCTCTGCACCGCCTTCCTGTCTGAAGCAGTGAGATGCTTCCAAACCAGACAGTAATGCTATATGACAGGATGCTCTCGATCATCCCTCTGTAGAAAGTGATAAGGACAGGGGAAGGAAGATGTATTTTTCTCATGCAACACAGAAAATGCAAGCGGTGCTGTGCTCGCTTTACTAGTGTCTTGCAGTTGAGCGATCAAGCCAGTCTACTCGCTAATTGCACACCCAGAAAATTGATCCTGGTAACCATTTCCAAAGGTGAATCATTAATGCACAGAGGAATGTGGCTGTGCCTGCCTTTTCTAAAATCGACAAAGATCTCTTTGGTTTTTCCAATGTTTAGAATTAGGCTGTTTTTCTTACACCAATTCACAAACTCTAAACCTCCTTGCGGTAATCACCCTCATTGTCATCTGAATAAGGCCCACTACTGTTGTATCATCTGTATACTACACAGTATGGTTGGTGGCAAACTTAGCGCGCAACAGTCAGGTCAGTAGTGTGAACAGCCATGGACTTAGTACGCAGCTCTGAGGAGAACCTGTGCTCAAAAAAATGGAGTTAGAAATATTTGTTCCAGCATGCACCTACTGGGGCCTGTCAGCAAGATCAAGAATCCAGTTGCACAAAGGAGTGTTTAAGCCTAAAAGGCCCAGTTTGTCTTCTAGATGCTGGAGAATGATTGTAGTAAATGCCAAAGTGAAGTTGACAAACAGTATACGCACATGAGTATTTATTTCCTCTAAGCCCCAAGCTCAGATGGAGAATAGAAGAAATAGCATCTTCTGTAGAGCAATTTGATTGGTAAGCAAATTGAAGCGGGTTAAATGCTGGTGGGAGGCTAGATACAATAATGTTCTTTATTAGCCCCTCAAAGCATTTCATAATGATGGATGTCAGTGCAACTGGGTAGTAATCGTTGAGACCTGTAATTGTAGACTTTTTTGGCACTGGCAAAATAATGGCCATCTTAAAACATGATGTGACCACTGCCTGCTGCAAGACAAAGTAAAGTGGAATAATTACTTCTCATGATCTAGACCAGGGGTAGGCAACCTCGGCTCTTTTATGACTCATGGACTTCAACTCCCAGAATTCCTGAGTCAGCATAGCTGACTCAGGAATTCTGGGAGTTGAAGTCCAAGAGTCATAAAAGAGCCGAGGTTGCCTATCCCTGATCTAGACTCTATGTTCCAGTTAATGTGAGCCAAGAGAGAGTTTTTCTTTATAGCAATTGCCTCTTTAACTTGAATTCAATAAGGGTACTCAAATCCCTTTCACAAAGGGAGATCTCTACTATCTTATAGTTGTGCTTTTCATCTTATTACCTTGATGAAAATTTTACACCTTTTCCTGTCAAATTCCAGCTATTCATTTCAGCCTACTGCTCAATATATAGGTATTGTATTGAATACTGCCTGTATCTTTTTGAATCTTCTCTCTTTCATTTATAGTATAAATGACTCCTCCCAGCTCTTTTTTCTGCAGATATCCTCAGTAGCACAAGGCCTATGTTATAGCCCTGTGGCACTTCACAGAATTTTTGACATTTGTTGTTCTATGTTTAATGAGTCAGTGATAAATCATATAATGCTTAAGATGAAGTTTCAATTTTTATTTTTTTACATTTTAAAAATTAAATTAAATTTAAATGATATTAGCTCAGCTACATATATTGAATATGGAATATGGAATGACCAAGTGGTGAATGTTTTTAATCTAAATAAATCTAAAAACCTTGGTTGCACAGTTGAAAGGTTTAGCTGCATCCCTAACATAACAGAAAATTTATCACTGTTAATATAATGAAATCTGGAAATCCTCCAGGGCCAGATGGAGTAACTGTACATGATGCAAAAAAAAAAAAAAAATTGAGATAGCAGCTTTTATATTGATGGAAATATATTAGGAGTCACATGAGAAAAAGGCCCTTTCAATCTCATATTATGAAGCTTATGTAGCTATAATCAATGAAAGCTGTTTAGGACCCAATAAATTGTACATACTATTGCTTAATATCTTTAGTAAATGCTGAAACTAAGATTTTAAAATTCACCTAAGATTACCAGAAGTATTATTCATAATATGAAATGAAAATGAGATTATAACAGTTACAAAGGCAGACTATCATCATTTATTTGTTTGTTTGTTTCCCACCATTTATTTATTATTTATATATATCTTGACTTTATTGTTTTTACAAATAACTCAAATATACCAAACACTTTTGTCCTCCTAGTTTCCCCACATCAGTCTTTTGAGATGAGTTGGGATGGGGAGAAGCAGTACATTTGACATGGATATGTGCACTAGTAATTCTTTATTGTTTAGATACTATTATCATGGAGAATGAGGTTCTTGGAAGGGAGTTAAGGGTCAAATATATTAATGTGCTTAATATGTATTCCAGGAAGGATATTTATGTATGAGAATCGAACAGTTGATTTAATGAAAATCAAAGCTTTTCTATGAAATATTTTTATATAAAAGGAGAGGCAAGATCAGATAATATGATTCTTTGTCATATTCAGTAAAGTTTAATTCAGTATTTAACAATTGAATGTTAATTTATTTATCAAATTTATTGGCCGTCCATTTTACCACAGTGTAACTGGGCGGCTTACAATATTAAAAAAATAAAAGTATATAAATAATATAAATACAATACTACAAACATATAAACATGTAAAATACAATAATTAAAAGACGGGGAGTGAGTGAGTAGGTTGAGAAGGGGGATTTGATATTAATTTATCAATCATCCCCAACATCAAGTTCCTCCTTTGGAGGCCAAGCCAACTGACATAACTAGGCTGTTAGGTACTTACAGAAGGTTAGGTTAGGAGGATTGGTACAAACCTCACTCCAGGGTGCAAGAAGTTCCAGAGGGCAGGTGCAATGGCAGAAAAGACCCTTCTCCTGGACCCCAACAGTCAGAATATCCTGGCCAATGGGGCCCCAGCATGTCTCCTCTACCGACATAGGTGGAGCAAGCTAATCCCAGTGGGAAGAGAAGGTCCCTTAAGTAACCTGGACCTATGCCATGAAGGGCTTTTAAATGTAATTACCAACAGAGCAAGGATGGTCGCACTACCACCATTCCATTCCATGCCGGATCAGTTCATTCCTCCTCAGTGAATTCTTGAATAAGGGAAGCCTTGTTGTTAATTGACTTGGCATTCAGCAGCAACAGCCAAACCTCAGGGCCTACAAGGATATGCTGTCCAGGAACTAGGAGTGAGCTCAAGGGGCCAGAACACAACACCAATATTACGTATCGGGGGCATTTACCCCTGTAATGGCCTGCCCTCTGGCACCTGTAGCATCCTACGCCCATCACCACTCTGATGCATTGTCCTACCCTATATCCCCCAAAGTGGTCATTCTCCCTCCCCCTTTCCTCCTTCCTTATAAAGCCAGGGGCTTTGCCACCCCCTCTAGGTCATTCATACATTTCCTGGGGAATCAATAAGGAAGGAAGTCCCCATGGCACTATAACTCAAGCTCTCAGTGCCAAGTGTTCTCCCCTCTCCAGTCCCTCCTTAACATACTATCCTCCATCACAAACTGGTTCCTCTCACTGGGCAGTCAATGGAGGCCCACTCATCCAAAAACCTAGCTCTCTACAAGCAACTACACATGCACAATAGCCGCTCCAGTCCTAAGTACAAACTCTCACATATTTTCGGCCCTTGATCCCCTCTGATATTGTGCCCAATGTCAGTTGGATGGCCATAATTCTCCCTGAGTCTTTCCCAATCCTCTCATAAGGAGTAATAATTTGTATTAATGTAAAATTAAGTTTGAAATGGTAGAATAGTTTGTAATTTTGATATCTGAATTGTAAGGACATCTTAATTGTAAGGACATCTTAAGAAAGCAGAACTCTTGGAAACAATTTCTTCCAACAGGAACTTTTATTAAGAGTAGTTGATAGCAGGCATAATAGACAGGATCTGAGGGATTTCTTTACAGATCGATTACTTTAAAGTGTCCCTAAGCAAACCCCACCCCACAGTTCATCCAGACGATTCAGACCAGGCAATCCCCAGGTGTTAGGTCCATCGTGGGAAAGGGGAGATAACATTAATCCGGCTCCATTTGTAGTGCGATGTTCCACAGCTCTTCACACACCTCCTTTTGAGAACAGAGAGATAAGCCAGGTCCCGGAGGTTTGTACTTCTTTCCCTCCCCCTTTTCCTAGCTGCCCGGTTAGGGAGAAGAAGGTTCAGAGAGATGCATAGTGCAGAAGGCAATTTGTTACATTGTATTGGATAGCAGACAGGAGTCAATAACCAAAAGATTACATTGTAGCGAATAGAGGAAGTGAAAGCAATAAACCCGCATGCATATCCCCCCTTCCCCTTGGGAGTATGGCAGAATCCAGGGGAAGGTGAGATTTGATTTTAGATCAGAGGAGATAGAAATGAAATATAATTGGATTCTGACACTAATATAATTTCTTTGGTTTTGATTATTTTTTTTCCTTAATTTTAATTTATTTCTTCTGAATATTTCTTTTTTAGTTTTTTTAGCTTTTTCAGTTAGTTTAATTTAGACTGTCTTTTTGTTTTTATACTTTAAATTTATTCAACTAATAGTTTTATGATTCTTCATAAATATTATTGAAATATAAATATATAGTTATTAAGTTGAACAGCTTTTAAAAGAAATTTTAAGCTTAAAATTTAAACAAATGAAAATAAAATACAGGTAGTCCTTGGATTATGACCACAATTCAGCCCAAAATTTATGTTGCTAAATGAAACATTTGTTAAGTGAGCTTCCCCCTTTTATGACTTTTCTTGCCATGGTTGTTAAGTAAATCATTGCATTTGTTAAGTTAGTAACATGGTTGTTAAGTGAATCTGGCTTCCTCATTGACTGCTTGTCAGAAGGTCACAAAAGCAGATCACATGACTCCGGGGCACTGCAACCATCATAAATATGAGTCAATTGCCAAGGGTCTGAATTCTGATCATGTGACCATGGGGGTGCTCCAATGGTTGTGAGTGTGAAAAGTGGTCATGTCACTTTTTTCAGTGCTGTTGTAACTCTGAACAGTCACTAAATGAACTATTGTAAATCAAGGACTACCTGTAAATGTATATGTTATTTATTTATAATTTTGAAAGTTTGGCCATGCCAAAGATTTTGAAAAGATTTTGAAAAGGAGTATTCATCATGCACATAGTTGTCATCTTGAATTTAATACCAACTCCATGATTTTGCTGAAAAGTTTCTGTCTTTAATCATGGAAATATCAGTTACACAAACTGATTTTTAAATGAATGTTTACAAGCATCTTTGGCAAAATAACAATTTTCCTAAAGTTTTATAAAAACAAATATAAATATAATGAAGGTCTGACATTCACAGCTGGCCTGTGAGCACACATTCCTTGTGGAGGCTACAGACCTCCTTGGAGGTCTTCTAGTCTAGCCCCCTGCTCAAGCAGGAGACCCTATACCAGGGGTAGGCAACCTTGGCTCTTCCAGAATTCCTGAGCCTGCCCTATACTATTTCAGACAAGTGGCTTTCTAATCTCTTCTTTAAAACCTCCAGTGATGAAGCACCTACAATTTCTGGAGGCAATCTGTTCCACTGGTTAATTGTCCTCACTGTTAGGAAGTTTCTCCTAATTCCAGGTTGCTTCTCTCCTTGATTAGTTTTCATCCACACATTGCGATTGGAGGGAGGGGACACTGCTCACTCACCTCCAGCTTTGCAGCCCAGTTTTTAACAGTCTACAGAGCAGTACCGGTCTGGGGCCTGGGGGTGGGGATCCCTGGTGTACAACAGAAACATATGTAAATAAAAATACATAAACTAACATAAAAAAAGAAAGCCATATAATACCTTAAATCACCCTAGCACACAGCTTCTTGCTCCATGGTCCACAGATGTTGGTGTGCAGTTCCCAAAGAACAAAGTTTTCTCCAGAATGGGAAGGGCTGGGACAAATCTCCTTTTGGCTTACATGCTAAGTCCCTGCTGGAGAGAAACTTGTGTCTTGCATATGCCTTTGTCCATACAACATGCAAGTTGGAAAAGGGCTATTACTACAATGTATTTAGTAAACATAAAGATGGAACAATTTGGGCCATTAGGTCCAATGCAGATCCATCCCTAGCATATGAATCTAGATTAGCATATCCCAGACAAAATTATATATGGCCTTCATTTGAACAGATTCAGTAAAGGAAAGTTGATTCCGCTCTCTAACTTCTCTTACTATTAGGACAATTTCCCAATATCTGACCTCATTCTTTTCCTTGCTCTTTATTCTTGAAACATTCTTCGAATACAGAAAACCGAATTATTATTTCCTAACTCATTCCATTCTGGGAGTATATAGACAAATAATGTATCCTTCTGTTGGTGCATCTGGAATGGCATGTGCCTTTTTAGCAGTCAGTTTAACATCGGATGAATCCCAGTGCCAAGACCCTTTTCATGCATGATTTTTCTTTCCTAAATGAAGAATTTTTTACTTGCTCTACTAAATTGGATTCAGTTTCTTATATGTTCATAATGTATATAAATTGTGATTTTTCTGATGTACAGATACTATAGCTAAGGATCAAGTGTTTATTTGTTGTTCGAATATTGTGGTTAACAGTTGGCAGAATGAGCAAGAGAGAGAGAACATGTTACTGCTATGATCATGATTTCATCCATTTCCATATTCAGAAATATTTCTGCCCTTGACTTTTGTCTTTAAAATGTGCATTTAGAATCCTAATTCTTAGTCTTAAATCACATTCTAAAACATTCCACCCAGTTCAGTAAGCACCTTTGCAGCTGTATATTGCAATTGTGACTTTTGAGAGATCCTAAGCATAAAGTAATATTATTTAGTTATCATTTGGGATTTAGTTGAAAAAGTACTTTATTTTAACTCATCTTTAATCTCCTCAGTAGAAATGATCCCCCAAAGAGAAAAAGAGGGAGAGAGGAGGCAAGGACTAGAAGCTTAATCTGTTGAGCTGCCATTTCCTCTCCCTAGGGTCAGTGTCACTGGTTTTCTGGTGGGAAGGATTCTAGAAATGTACAATTGTTTGTACTGCTTGTAAGGCATATTGTGAGAAGTGTTACCTATGCTATGGTATTTTGACCCTAAACCAATAACTGCTGGTAATTTAGGCTTTGTCTCTGTGTAATATATGTAATGACCCTTATGACTGAGTGATATTTTTTAATAAGTCTGCTTGTCTCTTTTGCAGCTGTTACAAGGAGCTTACCAATTGCACCATCCTGATAGCTGAGAAACTGGATTGTTATTGGCCAAACCAACTGGTGGATCAGTTCTTCATAACAATTCATAGGCACTACTTCAAAAACTGTCCCATTTCAGGAAGGGCTGTAGGAGACCCCCCTAACACAATTTTATGCCCATTCATTGTTGTACCAATTTTTATCACCCTATTCATGATGGCATTGGTAGTGTGGCGAAGCAAATACAGTGAAAGCATTATTTAAACTTTTTCAATAACATTGGTGAAGATGAACCCCAAAGTTTCCAACCTGCAAGCTGTACTGAAGTCTATTTTGCTGTTTCTTTGATAGAGTTCTGGATACCAGAACGAAGTATTTTTATTGTAGGTGGTATCTAATAGCAAACTTTCTGCTACCTAGAGAAAAAAACTGTATTCTTCTTGAGTTAACAAATATTTTGCTTAAGTCAAGAGAATGCATTGAGAAATTGTTCTCATTGTCTGAACTGGTATTAATATTTCAGACATGCTATTGCTGCTTCAATCTTCTTCAAATTTAAGGTTCTCTTTCCTGATTCCGTCAATATATATTTTATTGTCTTTGGTAATTACACATTTCCCTTGGGTTTATGCACTATTTTTTTTAGATAAAGTAATTTGAAAAAAAATGTAGGTATGTGTATAATAGCAATGCTGTCCATGATGAGATAAGAAATCATTTCAGTTTATTTTGTTGGTTAAAATCACTGGGAAACCAATATATATTGTTCATTGTATTAATTTTTCTGGCGGAAAAATTAACACAGCAGCAGTATTTTTTAGCAAATCCTAATTCAGTGCAATATTATCACTATTTCTTAAGCATGTTAATGTTTTACCTAATAGATTACTTTTGTATGAACAAATGTTCACTATAAATATTTTATATGGACATTAATTAGTGCAGAAAATTATTCACAGTACAAATCTTTATCAAATTATTGGCAAAATATTAAAGTTTGCAATATACCATTCTGAAGAAATGCTTTCTTATAAAAATTGTAATAAAATAAATAGTATAAATATATGATAAAGCAAAAAAATTCTAGGTTTCTTATCAAATCTATGGCACTAAGAAATTTAATAATCAAGTAGTAAATTTATTAATAAAGAAATGCTTGGATTTGCTATACAACATTGGTGGCAACAGCTAATTTCTGATTACCTTTGGTAAAATTCCCTACTCTGAGGACAAAAACATCTACAAATTGGCTCACAGCTGTTGGCTATTCCATGTGTGCATGTAAGAGACTATGAGCTGGAGAATGGAAATATGCTATAAGCCAGTGATGGCGAACCTTTTAGAGACTGAGTGCCCAAACTGCAACCCAAAACCCATTTATCCATTGTCAAGTGCTGGGTGGGTGTGACCCATTGGGCGGGCGTGGCCCATTGGGCAGGCGTGGTCTATTGGGTGGGCGAGGCTGGGGTGGTAATGGCAGACAGGGTAGGACTAAAAAGTTCAATCAATCAATTCAAACTTTGCAAGATCTTTTTTTTCTGCGAGAAGTTGAAATTTACTGATTGAATCTTTTTTTTTTTTTGCACACGGCGGCGGAGGACTAAAGCGAAAAGGTTTTATAAAACCCAGTTGAAGGCCTAGGACTGGGGCGACAGCACGCATGTCCACAGAGAGGGCTCTGAGTGCCGCCTCTGGCACCCGTGCCATAGGTTCGCCACCACTGCTATAAGCTATAGTTATAAATAACATTGTTTGAACAATAAAACCCAACCAAAATATGTAAGCTTTGGATTGCTCTGGACTTGGTTTGGATATGATTTATTTTTCATATTTTGCTATATCAAATCCTCCTCCCTAAGCACTGCACTTTCATAGGAAATGTAGTGTATAAATGAGAGACTTAACAGTTATAATCAGCAGAAATTGTTTGTTTTCAGGAATCTGGTCTCTCAGAAAAATGTATATTCAGTGGGGCTAATGGAGCAATCACTCAACCAGCAGAAGCTGAGAAAAAGAAGTCAAGCTGATGAGGAGGGGAAGAAAGAAGCAAATACTGAGTGGCTCCATTCCTGAACTAATGAATTCATGTGTGAACTCAACCAGCTGTGGTTTATTCAGTCAACAGTTACTAAGCAAACTATGAGTTATAAGAATTAACTACCTACTTTTCCCCATCAAATTGTGTTGTATTGTATGACTTTAAATATAATTATGCAGTTAAGTGATGTTGTTATGCCTTGTATTGACTGCTGGTGACAGTCTGTGAAGTTTGTGCAGTTTTCTTGGTAAAGTATTTCAAAAGTGGTTTGCCCTTGCCTGCTTCCTAGGGCTGAGAAAGAATTACTGGCCAAAGATCACCTAGATGGCTTTGTCCCTAAGGTGGGACTAAAACTCACGGTCTCCTACACTTTTGGAAGACCTAAAGAATCTGATTAAGAAAAGAAGTTTACAGTATTCCGGAGTCATGTGATCACCTTTTGTGTTCTTCTGACAAGCAAAGTCAACGAGGAAGCCAGATACACTTAACAACCATGTTACTAACTTAACAACTGCAGTGATTCACATAACAACTACAGCAAAAAAGATTGTAAAATGGGATAAAACTGACTTAACTATCTTGCTTAGTTACAGAAATTTTGGGTGCAATTGTACCATAGATCTCAAGAAAGCAGTTTCTACAAACTCAGAAGATTGGTAAGTATGGGGAAATGTTCCTAAAGAAGAAAATACCAAAGCACAATTGCTAATAATCCCAAAAAAAGATGACAAATCGAAGACAGCAGAAAGGTTAATGTTCTGAAGGACTGAGAAGAAAAAGAGTACATATTCTCTATAGATAGATTTATATGAGTAACATCACTATCAGCCCTCCAAGATAGACCAAACCTGGAAGCCAAAGATACACAAGCTAATACTTTTATTATAAGGTTATACTAAAGAAATGAGCAAGTCTGAATGCATTTCACGCTTCCCTTCCTTTATCTTCATGAGGGTTTTATCTAAGATGTTTTTTCAAATTATATTTTGCCCTGGACTCAGATTTCTTTTATCTGACCATTTTCTTGGTTATGACTCTTCCTCCTGTTCCTCAAAGTTATTCCTTCTTCCCTTGACAACAACATGCCATGTTTCCCCAAAAATAAGACCCAACTGGAAAATAAGCCCTAGTGTGATTTTTCAGGATGCTTGTAATATATGCCCTACCCCCAAAATAAGCCCCAGTTAAGATCGTCAACCAGACAGACACATTTAGTACCGGATTTCCCCAAATATAAGCCCTAACTGGAAAATAAATCCTAATGCGTCTTTGGGAGCAAAAATTAATTTTAAGACCAGTTTTACTGTATTTTCAGGGAAACACAGTATTCATTTCAAAATATCTGGAAGAATATTTTACTGGTATCTGACCTTTTGAGGACAGATAGTAACAGAAACATGGCACTAGTCAGGGAGTTCTTGGATAGAATCTCTCAACATTACTGAATAGAGATGGTGCAAATCTTTCTATAAAGAGGTAGTGTTGCAAGAATGGTATTGCATGAAATTTTCATAATTTTTCCAAGTATCCTTTCAGCAATTTTTCTGGTTTCAAGGTTATGCCCCTGGTTCTGCATAGTCACAAAAAGATGGAGAATTCAGATCCAAAATACAAAAATGCCTTATATAATATCTATGTAGAATGCTAGCAAAATAATAATTACTAAATAATAATCACTGAGTTAACAAATTATTACATAAAAAGATTGGTACAGAGGTGACTGGTTTTTGACTGGTCATAAAAATCATGAGTTTCCATAGATATCCATAGTCTTATGCACTGGTACATGATGCTAAATCTATAATTTTGCAGATGTGATGTGTAATAAAGTATGCCAAATTCTAATTAATTCTTTTAATGATGTATTCTTTCATATTCTCTTTATCTTCCCATTTTTTCATTATCTCTGTTTTAGCATCTTGCTTGAGAAACAAAGCTACCACATTTACCACATAATATCCCCGTTAGTGCCAGACTTCTTCTGACAAATTGTAAATATGGGGTGTGTATGTGTTAAATCTAGATCCACACCTCCCAGTATGAAGAATACTGCTCTTCTTAACCTTCTGTTTTTGAAGGCAGGTTTCCAATTAGTATTTTAAAATATTTTAATAAAAAGTAAACATGCAGTAATATGTGTCATATAGATTCAGAGAGTGCAGAGATTGCATTTTCTTTCTAAACTTTACTGGTGTAGTCAAAAGATATATTCTATCTTTTTGTAAAGTATTTATATGCAATGCAAATCTCTTCAAAGAATAGAGGCTTCTTTTCATTTATTTCTACAATGTGAGAATGGGCCTTCATCTCTTTTCTCTCACAATGGTTCCAGTCAAGCTCTGGCCCATTACAATAATCTTTATGGTGAAGTGGGAACTTTTTCCCAATACAGATTACTTGTACAGGGCCATGATACAGACCTTGGATTTCAATCCTTTGTCTTCGCTTATTTATATTGACATATATCAAAAACAGATCATGGCAGAAAAATCTCATTGCATTCTTTGACAAAGTGACTAAATTAGTGGACCAGTAAAATGCTTGGACAATACATTTGGACATCAGTAAGTAGACCACAACCTACTACTTGGTAAGATATAAAAATGTGGGTTATACAGCATCACCACCAGTTGAATTCATAATTGGCTGACCAACCACTCTCAACATGTAGTCCTTAATGGAACTACGTCTGCAGAGAGGGAAGCATACAATGGGTTACTCCAAAAATTCTGTCATAGGCCCATTAATCTTCAACATTTTCATAAACAATTTAAATGAGGGGGATAGGAGAACTCATCAAATTTCCAGATGACACTAAGCTCGGGGAATAGTCAACACTTCAGAAGATAAGTTCAAGATCCAGAACAATCTTGACAGACTTGAACATAGGGCACCTATCTAATAAAATGCAATTCAGTGGTGAGAAAAGAAAGATAAGCATGTAAAACCAAACACACAGGTATAGAATAGTACTTTGCTCAGTAACAATAACTGTGAGAGGGATCTAGGACTCCTAGTAGATTATCACTTACTGTAAATAAGAGCCAGCAGTGTGCTGCAGTTGGCAAAAAGCCAACACAGTCTTAGGCTGCATCAACAGAGGGATAATGTTGGAATATTCATGAGCAAGAAGAGTCATGTGGTAACTCAGCCAATGTGAAGAAAGTGCTACTGAGTCTGTGCAAAAGGTATTGAGTTAGGAGCTGATTTTTCAGTCTCAGGTTTGTCTCTGTAAGAAGTCTTCAATTGAGCTATGTTGCTGTAAAGAAGAATGTATGGTATTGTAAATATTTTGATATAAATATAAAGAAGTTATTTTTGAATCAGCTAAATGGAGTCAACTGTGAGAGCTTCTGATTTATTTTTTCACCAATAGAGAAATTAAAATTCTCTAACAGGTTATGGACCCAGAGCTTACTAAGGACTGCATTGTAATTTAAAGCTGGAAGAAATTGCCTGTGTTTAGAAAGTATAAGAACAAGGCAGAATTAGCAGAATGGCTGCAATGGAATTTAAGGAAAGCTCTGTGCCTTGTTTGGGCTAGAGGAATTATATTATATGGGCTGCTAAAATGGAATGTTTGCTCAAAGCAAAAGAGCTGTGGTATATCGTACATAATCCATCACAAGTGTTAGCAGCTGCTGATCAGAAAAGTCATGATCAAGCAATGGCTTATTTCATATTGAACTTAGATGATGAACAATTTCTAAATGTTGCAAATTTAAAGACTGCAAAGGAGATTTGGTTGAAGTTGAGAGCTGTGCGCGTGAATGTTTCTGCATGCAATATAGTGCAATTATCAAGAAAACTTTACAGGGCCTGTTTGCAACCAGGTCAATCTGTGGAACAGCATTTAAATAAAATGCAAAGTTTATTTTTGGACTTAGAACAACATGGG